AATAAATAATAATTGTTTGAAAGTAAAAAAATAAAAAATAATAATAATAATAATTCCAATTCCTTATTAACATAATCTATAAAGAAAATTTAGATCAATTTAAAAAATTATTGTTTGTTTATGTAAATAAAACCTATTCTATCATTTCCAATGGGTTTAATAGTGTGAGGGGGCCCTCTTTAATAATTTCAATTTAAATTTATGGATTATATTTTTAAATTAAAACCGTAAATGTGGAAAAAATAAGAAAGAAAAAAAAAAACAAAATTTAAAATTTAAAAGGAATATTTACTACAAATAAACTAATTCCAGGTAAATTAAAAAAAAAAAAAAAAAGAAAAGAAATAACCCTTAATAAATATTATATTAATTGATGATAATAATATTTTTTTTCAATCGAGTTGTAACAGAAAAATAAATTTTAATAATAAAATAATAATAATAATAATTACATTCGCGTTTAATAAAATATTTATTTATTATTTTTTTTAAATTAATAATTTATTATTGGAAAATTACTCAGTATAGTTTATTAAAGATTTTTTGATTTTTTAGTTTTTTATTTTTTGATTTTTTTTTCTTTTTTTTTGAATATGAAATTTTTAATTGAAAAAAAAAAAAAATAAATGGTAAAAAAATAAAAAAAAGAATAAATTTAATTTAATAATTTAATTTTATATCAATTTTAAAAAAATAATTTTTCATTTTATAAAATCATTCGGTATAAAAGCTAAATAAACATAGTCTTTGCCTGATGATAAAACAAATATTCCTTGTATCATTTTAATGTAACTATTTAATTGACATTTTTTTTTTTTTTTTTACTTTTTATATCATAATTTGTTGCTAATTTTTTTTTTTTTTTTTCTACTTTTTACTGGTAACTGACGCTAAATTCTTATCATTATATTACTTTTTAAAAAAATTAAATAACCTTAAACCTTAAATTTTTTTTTTTTGAATCAGTTGGAAATTAAAAACATATTATTTATCTTAAGGTGCATGTACAAATATTTATGTTTTTTTAGTAGAATTTGTGACTCTCAAAATTGGTATACCATACAATTTGTTTTAGTTTAAACTAATTTTAATTTAGTTAAATATTTTTTACCAAAATCATTCAATGATGGTCAAATGGTAGTGCACACAAATATTTTATTATTTTTTTAAAATCATTGCTAAGAAAATAAAATATTTTTTTGTCGATGCCATTTTTTTTTTTTTTTTTTAAAATATAATTTAAAAATAGGAGCCATCTAAATTCAAATCTCCAAAATTTCCATTTCTAAAAAGCTTAATCATTTGTACTGCACCAAAATTTATATCAGGAATTTTTTCTAACGCGTTATTTGCGACATTTTTTTTAATTAAAAATTTATTCGAAGAAACAGCTATTTTTGTAATCAAAGGTAAAATATCATCGATTGGTTCTTTCAGACCTAATATATCTACATATTTAAAATTCTCTGTTTTATTCATCCAGTACAATAAAAAATCTGCAATTGTATATTCTCCTATTAAATTATTTTTTACACAAGAACAAAGAGCTAATTTCATTCCGCATTCAATATCGGATACATTAGGTATGAAAATCCCCGGTGTGTCTATTAAAAAAATCGGTGGATCAGTACAGACTTTAATTTCGTTTTGAACACTCATGGTGACACCAGGGTTTGACCCAACAAGTGTAGCTTTTCCTTTTCTTAGATTTATATGCCTTAATCTATTAATTAAAGAAGACTTACCAACATTGGGTACACCAACGATCATTACTTTGTATTTTATGCTGTTACTTGTAAGTATTTGAGGTGAGTCTTTTATTAAAGAAACAGTTAAAGGTAAAATTTTTTTTAAACCCAGGCAATTTTGATTTAAGCAGTTAGCAAAAATTACATTTTTTTGATTTTCTTCTAAATATTTTTTTATAATTTTTTTACACGAAGAACTATCTATCAAGTCCATTTTGGCTAAAACTAATATATGAGGTCTCGTACCTAATAAAGATTTTACGAATAAAGGATTTCTACCCGAAAATGGAATTCTCGAATCATGAACTTCAACTACAACATCCACTGATCTCATTTTAGCCTGCATCTGAGCTAAACTATTCCTCATGTGTCCAGGAAACCAGTTTATTTTTGTTCCCAACTGAAATGTAGTGCGAAATTTTTGTGCGGCAGACATGATTTCAAAAAAGTTTTTTTTTTTTTAAACGTATCCTATATTTTAACTTTAATATTTTTAAGACATTTTTTAAAATTACTGCAAAAAAAAAAAAAAATGCCTGAATTTTCAGATTTCTTAAAACTTAAAATTAAATTAATTGTATTATTACTTCTGTACAAAATAAACTGAGTTATGTTTTTATACGTTTCTAAATACACGATCCGTCTGTTTACACGACTAAAATAATCAAAACAACTTCCATTAAATATAAAATACGATGGGATTTACTTTAATTAAAATTAATTCCAAATGAAAATTTAAAAAAAAATTAATTAATGATTTTTTTTAAATTTTTTTGAAAGAAATTTTCCTTTAGTTTTGTACTTACTCGAACCAATCTATGAATAAAAAATGTTGATTGCAGAATATTATATAATTTTTAAATGATTTTGCATTTTTAATAATTTTTATACTCTCAAGACATATAAAAGTTCAAATTTTAAATTAAAAATTTTTTTTTCAATACTTCAAATGTATACAAAACAAAAAAATTAACTTCTTGATAAAGTACTTCATTATTAATTTGACTCTTATACATTATAAATTAAATTGATTTTTTGAATTGATTGAACCTTTTAAAAAAACAAGTAAAATATAAAGGATTATGCCAGCATTAAATTTTTTATGAAGAACATATTAGTCAAAATTTAATCATCATATAATTTTAATTATTTCATGAGTTGGAAAAAAACAATTTTTCAGTATTTTGATAAATGATTTCACCCAGAGTATTTATATCTTCATTTTTTACACAAGAAATAATTTCCAATACTTGTCTGAAAATAAAATAATAATAAAAATAAATTATAAAAACAAAAACCCTGAATTATTTTATTTTAAATGATTATTTTAAATAAACAAAACTTACATTATATTACATGGTTCATTTCTTCCTTTTACTAACTTATCATTTTGCCATTTTTCTTTTTTTACAGAAGGAAACTGAGTTTGAACATATTTAAAACCAGCATGAGAAGCTTTTATTTCACACCAAGGACTATCAGTTTCGACCAATAATTTATCTGTTGGTAATTGTTTTACTACTTCCAAGTTTTTTTCATTTTTTAAAGAGCTAAAATAAAAAAAAAAATTAAAAATGACTGACAGCAGCGATAAAATAATTTTTGAGAAGATAAATTTTTAAACTTACCACCCATTTAAACCGATAAATAAACCCAAATCTATTATTTTTCTTGCTTCTTCAATTGAACCATCAAAAGAATGCACAACTCCACCAATATATTTCCCTCTGTGTCTATGTAATACATCAATTAAATCATCAGCTGCATTACGACAATGTAAAAATAAAGGCAATTTAATATTTTCAAATGCTATTAATTGACTTTCAAATCCTCTAAAATATAGAAATTATTACAATAAATAAAAATAAAAATTTTAATTTTTTATTTTTCAGTTACTTTTAAATAAAATTCTCACTTCAATTGATTATCTTTTCCACAAAAATGTAATCTGTCATAATCCAAACCGAATTCTCCCAATGCTTTAACTTTATGTTTATTATTTAAACATAGTTCTACTAAAGAATTGATGTAAGATTTATCATCATGATCAATTTCATTACAATTAGTTGGATGGCAACCCACTGTGCTAAATAACTTATCTAAAATCAAACTGAAATATAATTTCATTACTTGTCATAAAAAAAAAAAATATAAGAAGAACAAATATAAATTAAGACTTATAAGTAACTTAAAAGTTTTAAACAATTTTAAAAGTTAATAATTTTTATAAATAAATTTACAATTTTCAATTTTTAAAAAATATCTCACCACTTTCATTTGCAAGAACAAGAGCTTTATGACTGTCACTTAAACTAGTGCCAGTAATAATAATTTTTTTTAAACCATTGTCCCATGACCTTTGCAACACATTTTTCAAATCTGCCTCATGTTTTTGGGATCCATTGTAGATTCCAGAAAACATAGAATCTACTAGATTAGCACCAATATCTGTAATAAAAAAAAAAAAATTTTTTTAAATATATTTTAATTATAATACAGATATATTTAATTATTGGCATGTAAAATTCATTATTTCGTTAATGAATTCAAATGAATTGCTCTTTAATTTTTATATGTTAAATTTTGTATTTGATTAAAATTTAATGTATTCAAGCATTAATAATAATAAAAATAAATGCAGCAAAACTTAAAAGCATGATTTAAAAATATACCTATAATTCCAAAAGTTCTAAGTTTACTCATTTTGCCTTTTATAATTATTCAGAACTACCAACATGCGTATTTTAAAAAACCTTTGACTTTAATTACCATTCCTACATCACCTGAATGAAAATAAAAAAAATTCAACATTTCTGAACGTAATTTTGATGGCGTCTTTCATGTTTTATTGATCAATGTACCGTAAAGCTGACGTTGCTCGAGATAAATTGACTATCAAAGTTCACAACAAAATGAAGCGGAGTTCATCTAGAGATACTCCTCCAAGAAGAACAAAAAGATCTCGCTCTAGTGTTAGTAGGTACGATGATAGTTCGGATGAAAGAATCACACCCGAGCGAATTCGTAGAAGAAGCAGTAGAGGTCGATCACCACCTAGCCCGAGACGTTATTCAGATCATAGAGACGATTATGGTAGATCTCGTGATTTAGTGAGCGGTATTAGTTATAAAGTTCTGTGTGTGAGCGCTTTGCATCCGAAAGCGAGTAACGAGTTAATCAAAGATACTCTCTACAGAGAGTACAAAAGATTTGGTGATATTACCATTAGAATTTCTCATGATATCGAACAAGAAAGAGTAGCGTATGTATGTTTTAGAAGCTGGGAAGATGCCAGAGACGCCAAACATAGTAAACCAAGAATCGTTATATATGACAAAGTTGCAATTGTTGAACCTGTTTTTGAGAGCAGACCAAGCAGAGTTACAAGTGATGTATATAGAAGAGGACGCAGTAGAAGTTTAACTCCAGATTATGATAGATATTACAGGACAAGGTCCCCCATACCCCCAGTTCCTGATCAATATTCTGTAGACAGATATGATAGACCTTTTTACGGTCCTCCAGGACCACCACCTCATGAATTTCGACAAGAAGTGCCACCTCCTCCCCATCATGATTTTGTAAGAGTACCTATACATAGGGATCCTTATGGACCTCCACATCCACGCCATCCTCATGTTCCTCCTCATATTCCTCCTGGTCCCCCACATCATCCACATTATGCTCCTCCTCCAAGAGGGTTTCCTCATCCACATGTTCCTAGACCAAGAACTCCTCACTTTGCAGCAGATTCATTTCAGTTTGAAAATAAAAAGGACAAATTTCCCAATTATTTACATCACATACCCCCTGAAGATGATCCTTTGGCCACTAGAACTTTATTTGCAGGAAATTTGGAAATAAACATTTCTGAGGAAGAGTTGCGACGAATATTTGAAAGATATGGTATTGTTGAAGATATTGATATTAAAAGACCTCCTCCTGGCACTGGAAATGCTTTTGCTTTTGTGAGATTTCAAAACTTGGACATGGCTCATAGATCCAAAGTTGAGCTTTCGGGTCAATATATTGGTAAATTTCAATGTAAAATTGGTTATGGTAAGGCAACACCAACTACAAGAATATGGGTAGGAGGATTAGGTCAATGGACTTCTATACAACAGTTAGAAAGGGAATTTGACAGATTTGGAGCAATTAAAAAAATTGATTATATCAAAGGTGATAATAGTGCTTATATTCAATATGATTCCATTGACGCAGCTCAAGCAGCTGTCAAAGAAATGAGAGGATTTCCACTAGGTGGAATGGAACACAGATTAAGAGTTGATTTTGCTGATGTGCCAGGAATGCCTACCTTTAAACCAAGGCCAGCACCCAGTTTTCCTCCTGCTGAAACTGGTGATGCTTTTAGGTCACATGCACCTGGTACAGCACAAGATGATTACGCATATGACGCCCCAGGATATGAGCACTGGGCAGCAGATAGCGCTGATTATACTTATGGACCTCTTCGAGGTTACAGAGGTCGCGGTAGAGGGTATCCATTTCACGATCGTAGAGGTGGTTACAGGGGAGCTGGCTATCCTGGAGAACATTACCCTCCAGAAGGTGATTGGGTTGGAAGAAGACCTGAAATAGATTATGAAAAGCACAGGCGTTCTTTATCCAGAGAACCCGGTAATGATAGAAATTCTCGATCTCACTCGCCTAGAATCAGATCCATTGACAGCGATTCAGGATCTGAGAGTCGTCGTAACGGGCATTTAGGCTCAGCACGAGGATCAGCTCGGTCTTTGGCTGACGTCGCATGCAGGTGCATGGCCGTTTGGCAAGGGGCACTCATTTTGAAAAATTCATTATTTCCCGCCAAGTTTCACTTAACTGACGGTGACGGAGACATAATTGAGAGTTTAATGAAAGACGAGGAGGGTAAACATTTACTTCGAATCACTCAGAGATTAAGGTTAGATCAACCCAAACTTGATGACGTTTCAAAAAGAATATCTTCATCTAGCTCTCATGCCATTTTTCTCGGTTTGTCAGGCTCTTCTTCTAACATAACCATTGACGATGCCTCCGTTCAAACTAGACCCTTAAGAAATTTAGTCTCATATCTTAAACAAAAAGAAGCTGCCGGAGTTATTTCTTTGTTAAATAAAGAATCTGATTCGTCAGGTGTTCTTTATGCTTTTCCTCCATGTTCATTTTCCACAGATCTTCTTAAACGTTCTGCTCCAGGTTTGTCGGACGAGGGTTTAAAAGAAGATCATTTGGTAATTGTAGTTGTTCGAGGTGGCACAGCATAATCAATTTTACATTTTTCACAATGCAAAACAAAATTATTATTATTATTATTATTATTATAAGTAATTAAGTATA